TTGGCTGGTCTTTGTCAGACAAAAGAGCAGACACCAGGAGGTGTGGCAGAAGAGGGTTTAGGGGACATCTGCTCACCCAGGGATTCCAGGCTCGGAATGGGGGCTGGGATGCTGGAGCACCTAGCTGGGCCCCACGCTGAGCCTGTGTCTTTGAGGTGACAAACAGAAGCAAGGCAAGCCTGCATCAAATCTTTCTTGTTCCATTTTCTTTCTGATTTAATTTTCCAGAGATTAGGGCTCGTTCACCTTCACTGCGGAGAGAAGCCTCCAGAGTGTGCCTGTTTTCACTCCCAGGGTTATGTGGTTGGTTAGGGGATCTAGCTGGTCCTGCCAGGCCTCCGCTCCCTCCCTTCTGGAGCTACTGACTTCCCACTGACCCCAAGCTCTTCAGCATCATCATCTGCCCCAAGCTCCTTTCTGGTTGGTCAGACTTCCAGCTCATCCCTTTAAACCCTTATGCCCCCTTTCTCGAAAGCTTTACCTTCAAGTTTAGAGAGAGATACACAGGGCAGAGCTACAAAGTACCCTAAGGCAAGGGCTTTGAATCAGACGGGCCCTGTGCAGACTCCAGCTCTGCCGTGGGACTTCACTTCTCTAGCCCACAGCGTCTTTGCCTGTTAGATGGAGATCACAGGGATACACGTCTTCCTGGGCCAGCATGGATCAGTGAGGGCAAGTATGAAAGCACCTGCCCCGGGGTAAGCCAATGTCCCTCCCACCTTCCCTCCTCCCTTCTTAACTTCTCACCCTGACTCAGGTCTGGGCCCCACTGTTGCTGGCTTTCTGGGACTTTGTAAAATGTCTCTGATGGGGTCTGTCCATGCTACTTGTCCTGGGATCTTTTTTCTCCTATGGTAGCTTTTTGAATTTGTGTATGAGGTTGCCAGGCTCCTTCTACCTTGCAAGTGTTCACGTTTCCCATCCAAGGTTGCTGTTCTGCAGGCATCCTTCAGACTCACTTCTCTTTTATGTTAGACTGCCCCCAGGAGGCAGGAGGCTGGGTCTGGAGCCTCCAAAAGGACCACAGAGCTAATATGAGCACCCTAAAGGGGAAAAGGCACCCCTACTGAGTCACTACCCTAGGCAGGGCCTGGGAAGTTCAGTTGGTAAAAAGCCTGCCACATGAGCATGAGGGTCTGAGGTTAAACTCTGGCACCTTTGTAAACACTAGGGACACTGTAGAGTCAGGAGGGTCCCTGGGGCTCACGGGTATCCATTCTAGCCAGATCAGTGAGTTCCAGACTCAGTGAGACCGCCTCCCCACCCCACCCCACCCCCGCCGCCACAAAATAAGGTGGAGAAAAACTGAAGATGTTACCTGGTGTTGACCTCTGACCTCCACCTGTACCTACTTGCACATCATACAAACACATTTTTAAAAATGATGACTAGAAATCCACGATAGAGGCCCATGATCTGTAGCATGAGGGACTCCAGATAGCTTCCTAAACTGTCCCTCCTGTCTTATCCACCCCTGCAGTCTATGTTCTCTGGCCCTCTGCCACTGTCCCTTTCCCTCAGCCGTGGCTCTGTCTGCCTCCCCATCCCGACACCTTCCTTCTACTCCCTGTTTGGTGAAGCCTCTGCCTCTTGCCCCGCTACCATGGATGGCTTAGCGTTGCAGTGCCTGTGTGTGCACTGGCTCTTTTGTTCACCTCAATCCAGCTCTCTGGTTAAAGGTGAGGACCGCTGAAGGCGGCATTGCTCTGGGAACTCTGGTTTTTCCAAATAACTCTCTGGGCCAAGGAAACCAGAAGGTGTGTGGTCCTGCTGGTTGAGGCCCAGCTCCCTGTGGCCTTTCTGCCATGCCCCGGCTGGTCCCAAGGCTCGGGCTTATAGCTGGTGAGGAGCTAGCCTTTGGTAGGGTCCAAGCACTATGCTTTCCCTGGTGTCCCTCCTGGGTCCATGCTGGAAAGCAGCTTCCTGGCCCACATCAATGTGGGGATGATTTACCCCGTGGGGAGGGGCACCTCTGAACTGTGCCACTCAGATCTCCCTTGGGCTCAGAGCTGAGCTCAGGGCCCTTCCAGGGAACAGAACAGCTGGAACAGATCCAAAGGAATGTTGAAAGGACAAGACTCCAGGGGTCTGCCCTTCAGGAGCTGCTGCATATCAGGGGTTCATTTGGGGCTGGGGACTGTCTGGACTGGCAACTTGAGCAGCCACTAGGATTTTGTCTTTGTTACACCAGAAACCCCTTACAATCCCTTTCCTCTTTCTAGACAGGATTTAGAGCATATGGGAAGACAGGGTGGCAGGGACAACATGGGCAAGGTCTGCTAGCAATAGTCCAGAGAGGCCTCAAATTCAGGCACCGGGGAGCCAGCAGAAGGACGCCATCATAGGCCCGTCGGTAGAAGGGGAGCAGGAAAAAGGCCTGGCAGAGGCTTGCCGGGCTCGGGAGCTCCCACAGCTGCAGCAGAGGTGAAGCGTTGACCCAGGGCCCAATGCTCTGTCCTTGAACACGGAGTTGGGCACATGCCTTTGTTCAGTGTCCTCTCCACACAGACACGGTGCTTGGAGGGACAGCAAAAGAACTAGCTGTCGCTATGCACTATCAGTGGCTCCCTGGTGTCTGGACTCCTCTGTTATCACCTCCAGGGCTGAGACTGAGGTGTTAGGGAAAAAGACAGGGTGGCTGAGGGAGGGACTCAGGGGCAAAACCAGGAGAAGGAGGTTGGCTCCTTGGAAAGAAAGCTGATGGCGGTCTCAGCGGGCATACCTAGCAGAAGAGTGGGGGCAGGGAGGGGACTGAAATTACTTCCTCCGTCTTGGCGGTCTCAGACAGTAGCCGTGGTGGCCACAGTACAGGGTTCCGAGGACACGAACTGTGCTGTAGTTCATTGGCTGTTGTTCATTGTGCCGTTGTTCAGTTGAGAATTGGAAGGACTCCCATTCTCACAGATATATCGAACCCTGGAAATTCAGAGGCTTCTTGAAGAACCTCCGCCTCCAAGCTTTGTGTCACCTGTTGGGACCTTGAGGTAGAGCCAAGACACCAGATTGCTTCCCTTTGCTGACCCCAACCCAGTAGCCACATAGGGTTCAAAGTATATCGTAAACCTGGGAAAGGTGTTCCCAGACATTTCAGGAAAACCAGCATGGCCCAGCCTCAGAGCCTGGGAATGACCTTGACAAGCAAATCTAATGTATAGAGCTTCATCCCTTGGCCCTGATGAAGCCAGGCAGCTGCGCCCCCTGCTGGCACAAATAGGCTGGGTGCTGCTTCAACTGTGTGGCCCAGATCATGGCTGCTATACAACCAGACTATGACCCAAAGCTGAGGTGGTGAGATGTTTTAAACCTCCAAACCTGAGAAGGATGGGTCAGAGAAGATGGAACCTGGCTTTGCCACTCTGCCCTATGTCCAGAATTGTGCTCTCCTGTCTGATTCTCAGTTCCCCTAATGTAGGATACCGGCTCCCTGCATTTCTCTGCAGCCCTTGGGTTGTGATTCTTCCTTTTCTTTGCCTCCATCACAGAGGACCATCAGAGGACCTTGGTCCAGAGCTGAGCTTGGGTTCTGTGGCACAACCTGCCCTGGTGTCTGTTCAGAGCTTCAGAGCTTCGGTCCTCTCTGGCTATACAAACAGGCCCTGACACTCGCCCCCTAATTGCCACAGCTCTGGAGGAAGGAACAACTTCACCACAAATTATTTTGTTCTAAGAGGAGGACAAAAAGAAAAGAGAAGCCGAAAGGGATGGGGGATGACAGAAGGAGATTGCCTGAGCCTGCTTCGCTTACTGCTTTAACCCTTGAGCTGCCAGGCACTGGGCAGGCAGCAAGACTGAGGCTCTGGCAGCCTCCAGCCCCCAGCCCATCCCCTTATCAGATGACAGAGTCCTTACCTCTGCACCTCTTCTGTCATTCCCCGACCTTATCACGCCTTGCCTGTCTGTCTCTCACCAGGTGCCTATGTCACCTCCTTATTGCCCCTTACCGCCAATCCTTTCTGTCTCCGTGTGCCCCCACTTCTGCACAACTTGGTGGCAAGGCTCTGCCATGGAAGCCGGGCTTAAGACCTCTAGTGGTGAGGAGCCAACTTACGGTACAGACTTCCCGCAGTCATTTGAATGAATGCACAAACTGGTCTGGGTCAGGCTTGGAGACACTCACAGGTGTATAACGCGTACATATGCATGCACATAACCAAGACCCAAGCATGAAAAAAGATGCCTGCTGAAACCTGCCTCTGAGACTCACAAGCTGTATTCAGAGGACTTAGCCTCACCCATCCTAAAGCCCGCATGCTGGTGTGTGCACACAGATGGCAGTGCCAAGCCACATCGCATCCTAACCACCAGTTTACACGCATGTGTAGTCAGACTCCACCTCCTAAGGAGGGGGAATGGGCAGAGTAATTCTTCCTACCTGGTCTCCCTCAATATTCTGTGCCTTGAATAGCAGAGCTCTCCATTTCTGCAAATGGCCTAGGGCAGCATCCGTAAAAGGAGCGCATTGCCTAAGGCTACATGGAGGAGTAGCTGTGCATCTGCACACTCAGGAGATTCGTTCGTGGCTATGCACATATATGTACGTGTGTGGGTGTGCGGACAACTTCATGTCGGGATGTGGTTTGTGATGTCTGCTTTTTAGCTCCATCTCTCTCACCACCTAACGTGCCTTCTGCTTCGCATCCAGCCTCCCCCTCCCCCTCTGCTGCTCATAGGCACTTGGAACTAAAGTTGAGACAACTCATAACCCCTGAAAATGGATCCCTGAGGCCCAGACAAGGCAGACTTGGACCCATGAACCACCAACACTGGCCACCAACTAGCCCACGCTGGACCTTCATCCCAGGTGCAAGCTATAGAACTCCAGCCTTGTGGTTCCCCTTCCCTGAGATCATGAAGGTCCTGGACTCTGCTTGTTAGAGCCAAAGCCAGGTCCTATAGGAATAAGGATTAACTGAGCTGTGTTTGCAGTGACAGTATGTGAGGCCGTGGCATGGGAGTTATGGGCTGCTCTGACCTCACCCTCCACCTCTGCTTTCTTCTAGATCTACAAGGACAATCGGAACCTGTTCGAAGTACAAGAGAACGAACCCCAGAAACTGGTGGAGAAGGTGGCAGGGGACATCGAGAGCCTGCTAGACAGGAAGGTGCAGGCCCTGAAGGTAGGCCAGTGTGTCGGGAGCAAGAGAACATTAAGGGAAGGTGGGGTGGCCTTGACTCAAGCAGTGTTCCGACCCTCATTGTCACAGGACGCTTGGATCCTGAATTTCGGCAGGAGAAACAGCTGCAGGACTGGGCAGCCATGGCAGTTGTCATGGGGTTTGGCTGCATGTGTGGTGACCCGGCAGACCTAGGCAGTCCTGCCTCTCCCTCCTGCAGGGCCTTGGAGCTTTCTCATGCCTCTCAGTCCCCTGGTCTGTCTGTGGGTGGTAGAGTATGCTCCTAGGTGGGCTGCAGGAGCTGGTGGGGAGGGGATGGCGTTGAGGCAGCCACAGGTGGGAAGGCTGGAGTCCCTGCTCTGCCCTTATCTAAATATTTCTCTGCCTGCTCCGGGTCTCAGTCCCCCCATTTAAACTCTAGTGTACTCTAGCAGCTAGTAGTAAGACCTGCCAGGCTAGCCTGACAAAGCAGCCAGGCAACTACTCGCTCCAAGGACAGCAGGTGGGTGGGGGGTGCCCTCAGGAGCTACGGAGTCATTACTAAATGGGCAAGAGCATCCATTCTGACCCTAAATCAGTGGCACCATTGTAGTTGCCCCCCAGCCTTTGTAGAAGATCGCAACATCTGTTTTTTTTTAAGAAAGGAAGAAATCTTGGTATGCTCTACAACATGGATGAGCTGAAACTCATTGTGCCAAGTGAAAGAAGCCGGTGACAAGGGCCACGTGTGTGATCCTATTTCTATGAAATGTTGGTAAAGGCAAATTCACAGACATGGAAAGCTAGCTTACTGGTTGCCAAGGGCTGGTGGAGAGAAGATAGGGCTAGTTGAACTCAAGGTTTCTTTTTGGTAGTGATGAAAATATTCTAAATTTAGATTATGGCGATAGTTGCATGACTCTAATTATTCTAAGAACCACTGAAATGCATGTTTAATGTGACTGAATTTGCTCTGTCAATTAAATCTCAATAAAGCAATTTTTAAAAAATTAGCGCATCCATCCGCAACTATGGCCAGGGTCAAGTCAAGACAGCTAACCTAGATCCTCCATATCTAGACCCCAATAAAGAATGAGTCCCCTTTCCCCAGTAACTGGACCCCACTGTCCCTCACAGAACCCTGCTTTATGTGACCTAGGTGCATGTAAGAGAGTGAGGATGACCTTCTGATTGGAGGAAAAATGGTTCTAAGGACCGCCCAACAATTAGGAACCCAGCAAACCCAGAGCTGTACCTAGAGAGCCTAGTCTTGCCTGATTTTGGGGATCTCCTGGTCACAGATAAGTAAAGTCAACTGAAAGATAGGCTGCCACCGAAGGGGCAAAGCCAGGTACCAGCTGTAGGGGTCAAATGCTTCTGCCTACTAGTGTTATACCATGTGCTCACCTACCCAGCTAGCACACCACACCTGTCCACTGCCCCTCCCAAATGTGTCCGTTTTCATCTTGTTCTCTGCCTCCTTGCCCCTCCCTCATCCCAGTTTGCACACTGCTTCCTAGTTTTCCTGCCCCTCCCCCTTTACAGACTGTGGCTGCCTTGCTCAAACTTTTTTAGATAAGGTTTTAGTATGTCGCCCAGACTAGTCTCACGCTCCCGGTCTTCTTACCCATGCCTCCTGAGCTGGGATTACAAACACATACTACCCGTACCTGGCTGGCCAGCCCAAATTACTGTTGACATCAGGTATGCGTGCGAAAGGTCATGTTCAGGTCTTAGGGGGAGTCGCACACAGACTTCAGAACGGGTTTTCCTTGGTAGAGGCTGGACTGTGCTGGAGGATGACCCTGCCAGCTTCCCAGAACCCAGGCCCCGCCATCCTCCTCAGAAACCATAGTCTTGATTCCCTACCCCCTTAACCCAATACTACAAGAACAACCAGCCCTAATAGCAGAGAGGGTTGGGGCATAGCCACAGGCTTAGAGTCCTGTTTAACTCTCATCCTGTACCCCACATACTCATCCCTGCCTGAGAGAGAGGACAGATATCTGCCTCCTTCCCACTGAGTAGACAGCACCAGCCTGTTCCCTGGTACACAGTCAGAGCCAAATACAGAATGACTTTCAATGAAAGAATGATGGGAAAAGGAACTCACCACGTGGTCAGTGGATCACGAGTCGTTCTCACAGCAACCACAAAAGGAAGTCTTTGTCCCTTCCTCTTACAGAAGGGGACACTGAGACTTGGAGGTGTCAGGACAGGACACAAGAGAGCCAGAACTTGAACACAGGTTTTCCTGACCCGGATCCCAGCCCGTGGCCCCCACAGTCCCGAGGCATGCACTAAGACTACAGCCCTTACCATCCCAGCACCTCCTTCTGCTGCAGTCTGATTTCAGGCTCACCCTACATCCCTCCAAGACAGGACTGCCCAGCCCTCAGTTCTAATTGTTCAAAGTAAGCTTTGAACTTCATTGTTTTAAGTTTGCTTTTAATCAAGTTCTGCTCCTTTTTCTTCTTTCCCACATTTGTGTGCAGCCTGAGTACAAATGAGCGGAAGGGCATGGGGGGGGGGGGGCTTGACTCCCACCCCCCATTCATTTGCTCCCCCCTCCCTGGACCCCGTCCAGTAATCCAATTTAAAACCCTTGATCTGGTCTTGAATCTTAATTTGGGGCTTGTGAAGAGGGAGCTGAGACCTGCAGGACACAAGGTCGCTGTATTGTCCAATCAGCGTCCATCAGATGTTTCTTGACCGAAGTCAAGAGTCAGAAGAGGCCAGCTCAGGGCCTTGCAAACACAAGCAAGCAGTGTTCCCAGGCTCAGAAACCATGCTAGTTTCTCTGCTTTGGGCATGTGGAGGGAACCGGAAACTTCAACCACCCAGGGAGACAAGGCCTTTCAGCCAGGGCTTTTTAGGGCCTTGAGCCCCAGAAGGGACAATAAGGTGCCTGAGTCCTGTGCCTCACCATGAGGACTCAGGCAGATTTGAAGCACAATTGTTAGGTCCCCGTCCTCTCAACTGAGGCCTCTGCACACAGCCTCCTTCTCAGAAAGGTCATTTATCTATCATTACGATCCCCACTCAGTGTTGTCACCTGTGTTCACTCATGGCCAACCGTGTGATAATCTCCGTGCTGCTGCAGAAGGTGCAGGGAAGGCCAGGCATGTTCCTACCTTCATATGCCAAGACCATTCCATCTCAGGCCCTAACTTCCTTCTCTGTGCCTGTAGTGCCAGTTACTCAGGAGGCCGAGAGAAGAGGATTGCTTGAGTTCAAGAGTTCAAAACCACCTGTCAACATCAAGGGGCCATCAACTAAACTAAGGACCTGAGCACCCTCCCTGCCCAGTACCTCCAGTTTCACAACCCCGGGACATAAAGGACATAAAGGAAGGCTATGTTGCTTGCTGCCCATCCCTGCCACCTTTGCCATGTGGCTTAGAGAAGAGGTCGTAGGATAAAGTAAGAGATAAGCTCATAGGCAAGGCTAAGGCCTGATGGCTTAGTGAACTAACTGCCAGAGAATGGGAATGCCAGGGCCACGGCACTCAGGACATGGCACCGAGGCCAAAGCAGACTACTGAGACTGTCAGTGTGGATACTGGCAGGCCGCTCCTGGAAGTCCTTTTGCCTTCCAACTCAGACAAGCTGGGGGCAGTGGCAAGGCCTAGCTGAGACTCCAGAATCTAGAAACTCAGGCCATACAAACTGACAGCGCCTTCATATTTGCCACCATTACAACCATGTAGCATTAGCTGTCTACAGAAGAACAGGCCAGGGGAAAAAGAAGATGAGGCACTGGCTTCCTCTAACAGGACCTTGGTCTGTGATGACCTAGTGACCTTAGACAAATCCCTGATCCCTTACTTTCTTTCATAGACGATGAAAAGGCCCCCACAAGACTCCCATGGGTGGGCAAAGGGAAGTGCAGCCCTAGCCTCAGATCTAGGGGTTCCAGTGGGCAGCACCCCCACCACCAGTGTCCTCTGGGGAATTAGCGTCATTTAAAGAGTAAAATTAAAAACCCTTCTGAGCGCGGTCGCCCTGCTTTTGCTGCTAATGGCCACTTAACCCAATTAGCTGACGCATGTTGGCAGTGTGGCTGGGTCTGTTCAGGAATGGAGCTCTGAGTGGGTGTTCAAAGGAACAGGAGGTAAGGCTGGGGGCCTGAGGACAGGCTACTCTGTTAGGAAGAGAAGGTTCCTCCCAGTTCAACTGCTGCTTCCTTTCCAAAGCTTCAATCCCAGGGGCACTTTGAACTGGATCGGCCTTTGCGGGGCCGGCTCCAAGCACTGGGGCATGTTTGGTAGCACCCTTGCCCTCTACCCACTAGATGCCAGTAGCACCCCACTCTCACAGTGTGTCTCCATGTGCGGCCTAGCGTTTTCTGGTCATGTGACAGTAATGAATAGAAGTCCACAGGCAGCGGGGAATTGGGGACCTGAGAGATGTGCAGACGGAATAGGGCAGCCTGAGCAAGAGAAAAAAATCATTTCTTCCAAAGGGGCAAGAGGAAAGGCTGCCCGGAAGAGGCAGCAAGGGGAATAGATGAGCTCTGAGACAGCTAGAGGCCAGTTCAGCTGAGTCCAGTGGTGCATTCATTGATGAGCGTTCAACAAATAGGTTGGTCCTGAGCAATTCAGGCCATGAGTCATCTGCCAAGGCCCGGCCTGCAACAGGAACTTTGTAAGCATTTGCAGAACAGATGCTGAACTGCGGCTCTGGATTCTGCTGGAGCTCAGCTTCAGGGGTCGGACTCCAGTTCTGGGAAGCTCAGAACAGGCACAGTAATGGCGGGCTGACAGACAAGGGAGTCTGTAGCACCCGTTGTCTCCGCCCACCCTTCTCTGAGCAATTAAAAGGTGTTTATGTGGGGCTGGCAGTGGCTTCTGCCTCCCTTCCATTACGAACATTAAGAGATCTTGACCCTTCCACTTTCCCGCTCTTGAAAAGAACTGAGACACGTGGAGCCAATTAGGCGCACGCGTGGGCGCCAAGGGCCTGAGCAGCTTTTTCTCCCTGATTGCGGCGTTTACAGCTGATTATTCTCCCCCTCACCCAAAC